TGTAGGGGTTCCAGGAAACCAAGTGACTTAGGGAAGGAGAAGTTACCATCTACTTGGGCGATGCTAGTAGAGCGTCATCAGTTGCAGTGGGAGACGTCTATTTAGTTTTTGACTTAGATAGGTCTCTAGTTTTGAAAGATTGTCTTTATGTTCCTTGTTTTAGAAAGAATTTGATTTCAGTTTCTAAGTTGTTTATGAACGGTTTTTCCGCTACTTTTGATAATAAAGTTATTATTCGTTTTGGTAAAAAGTTCATATGTTCTAGTTCATTAGTTGACAATCTATACATTCTAGAATCTAAGTCATCTCCACTACAACAGAAACAATTACTTAATTCATCATCTAATCTAAATAAGAGAAAGGAACCTTCTAAAATGAACGAAACATATCTTTGGCATCTAAGACTTGGTCATATTAACCTTAGGAGGATTCAAAGGTTGGTAGCAGACGGGCCCTTGGGGTCGTTAGAAGTCGAGGCTTTTCCAAATTGTGAGTCTTGCCTTGAAGGCAAAATGACTAAGAGGGTTTTTAGTTCAAAGGGGCATAGAGCTGAAGATGTGTTAGGGCTAGTTCATTCCGATCTATGTGGGCCTATGAGTGTTCAAGCGAGAGGTGGTTTCGAGTACTTAGTTACGTTTATCGATGATTACTCGAGATATGGGTACATTTCCCTTCTGCACCGCAAGTCTGAATGCTTTGAAAAGTTCTTAGAGTATAAGGCATTTGTGGAGAAGCAGTTAGAAAAAGTATCAAGTCATTACGATCAGATCGTGGTGGCGAATATCTCTCAAATGAATTTAGGAGCTACTTGACGGATAATGGGATTACATCCCAGCTGACTGCGCCTGGCACGCCTCAGCAGAATGGCGTAGCAGAACGGAGGAATAGAACTCTTATGGAAATGGTTAGGGCAATGATGAGTTATAGTACGTTACCAGATTCGTTTTGGGGATATGCCCTAGAAACAGCGGTATACATTCTGAATAGAGTACCTTCTAAATTAGTACCGTCTACACCATTGGAGTTGTGGTCTGGTCATAAGCCTAGTCTAAGGCATCTCAGGATTTGGGGTAGTCCAGCACATGTTCTGAGAACCGATACTGATAAGTTGGAACTGATAACAGAAGTAAGACTGTTTGTGAGATATCCTAATGAAACAAGAGGTGGTCTATTTTATAGTCCTGGGGACGAAAAAGTAATTGTTAGCACGAATACTAGGTTCTTGGAAGAAGACTATGTCTTAGATCATAAGCCCAGTAGTAGACATGTTCTCGAGGAGTTAAAGGGAGTGAGCACTTCAATACCGAGTGCGCTAGATGTTACACCACAAAATACTGCAACATGTATCGCTGATGATGCACCTGAGCAGGTAGTACCTCATCGTAGTGGGAGGGTTGTCTGGCAGCCCGAACGATTCATGGTCTAGGAGAGTCTTCTGAGGCCGTCCCGAACGTTCTTGAATCCAACCCATGAACATACAATAAGGCACTCCAGAATTGGGATGCAGAGTCTTGGCAAAAGGCGATGAAATCTGAAATAGGGTCAATGGACTCTAATCAGGTCTGGGATCTTTTAGAGCCACCCAGTGGCATCCGCGCCATTGGATGCAAGTGGGTCTATAAGAGAAAGAGAGGATCAGATGGAAAGGTTGAGATCTTCAAAGTTAGGCTTGTTGTGAAAAGGTACACTCAGAAAGAAGGGATCAATTATGAAGAAACCTTTTCGCCGGTAGCCATGCTCAAATCCATCAGGATTCTCTTGGCTGTGGCCGCTCATATGGATTATGAGATTTGGAAAATGGATGTTAAGACCGCTTTCCTTAACGAGAATTTGGACGAGGACATCTATATGCAGCAACCAGAAGGATTCATCGCAAAGGGCCAAGAGCATCTGGTCTGCAAGCTGAAGAAGTCTATTTATGGGCTAAAGCAGGCTTCGAGGTCTTGGAACATCCATTTTGACGAGGTTGTCCAATCGTATGGATTTACTCCACGTCTGGATGAGCAATGTGTGTACAAAAAAAGTGATGGAAACGTGGTGATGTTTCTAGTGCTGTACGTGGATGATATTCTTCTCATTGGAAACAATGTGAAAATGTTATCAGACGTAAATGTATGGTTATCCAAGCAGTTTGATATGAAGGATTTGGGAGAAGTAGGGCATGTTCTCGGAATCAAGGTCATTCGCGACCGAGAGAAGAGAAAGTTGTGCCTATCCCAATCCACATACATAGACACTGTCCTAAAGCGTTTCAACATGCAGGATTCCAAGAAAGGGGATTTACCCTTTCGGCACGGAATACCTCTGTCTAAGAGGATGTCCCCAAAGATGCCACAAGAGGTAGAGGATATGAGGGCAGTTCCTTATGCATCGGCAGTAGGAAGCCTCATGTATGCTATGTTGTGCACCCGACCTGATATTTGTTATGCTGTGGGCATGGTAGCAAGATATCAGAGTAATCCAGGACCGGAACATTGGTCTGTGGTAAAACATATACTCAAGTACCTACGTAGGACTAAGGGTACATGTTAATTTACCAGGAAGATGAATTGCTTCCGTTGGGTTACACCGATTCTGACTTCCAGGCAGATCGGGAAGAAAGAAAGACAACCTCAGGATTTGTGTTTACTTTAGGAGGAGGAGCCATAGTATGGAGGAGTGTCAAGAAGAAATGTGTGGCAGACTCAACCATGGAGGCTGAGTATGTAGCAGCCCTAGAGGCAGCGAAAGAAGATGTCTGGCTCAAGAATTTTCTCCTCGACCTTGATGTGGTACCGGGTTTGCCCGCTGCAATTACAGTATTCTGTGATAACAGCGGAGCAGTAGCAAATTCGAAGGAGCCACGGACTCATAAAGCGAGTAAACACATAGAGTGCAAGTACCACCTGATACGAGAAATCGTTGGACGAGGAGATGTCGTTGTTGCCAAGATACAGTCAGAGGACAACCTAGCAGATCCTTTTACGAAGAGCCTACCGACGAAAGTCTTTACAGGACACGTAACAGGAATGAGAGTCAGATGTTAGGGCGACATAGTAGACTAGTCTTTGAGAATTAGATTGAAAGAAATTGTGGTTATTTTGTTAAGCCATGAGCTTATAAAGCATAAGTGGGAGAATGTTAGAGGTATGCTGTAAAAGCTATGTTTTGCAGATTCTATCAATTCTATTTTGATCTGGCCATCATGTTACGGTCAAAGTAAATATGTTTGCATTTTATTTATTTATACAAATCATACTCCATGTCTTATATTGAGATAGTGTGGTTCGAAGTGTTTCGAACAGAAAGATCACCTATCAGTTCCTTATAAGACTAAACTATTTGTTAACAGTCTAGACAGGCAGTGAGACCCCTCTTGAAAAAAGACTATAGTGTATTCTTGATTCAGTTGGTCTTTGACTGGAGAATTACACCAGCACTTATGTTAAGTGTTGAACAGGACCACGGAAGGATAAGGATATGAGACTCACTGAACGTTGTTGTAACCTAGACCTTCAGTGACTGATGTGTTCTCTTAAGCTGTAAGATAATATAAAATAGGCATATATTTTTATTTCTTATTTATTTGATTTACCAAGTGATTCCTATTTTATTAGGATGACATACGAGGTATTTTGGTAAGTAAGAATAATTATATGATGTGCTATTATAAATTATTTATGGTCACTATGTTCCAGTGCGCTGGATTGATGACGTCCCCGAAATGAGCTCAGGAATGTACGTTATGTTAAACCCTGCAGGTAGACGATTGTCTGACATAATGGTTAAGGATCTGAGTGGTACTAATTTCTGAAATGAATAAGAAGTTGATTAATTATTTTGTCAATAATTTAATTAATCAACAGACGTTATATCTTAAACATAGGGAGGTAAATCGATCAATCGAGTTAATATTATTTAATCATGGAGGCTCAATTTTATTGGTAGAATAGTGGCTAAATGTGGAGAACAATAATATTACTCTAGTGGGATGTTTTATTATTTAATTCCATTTAAATAGGAATTAATTTTATTCTATATTAATTAATTTAATTAGGAGAAAAAAATTCCTACTAGAATCTTCTCTTGGGATTAGGAGACTAAGGAGTCTTCTAGAAGATAGAGATTAGTAGGAAATATATTTCCTACATTAAATAATTAATTGAAGTAGAATTAGGATTCCTAAATTAAGAATTAATTTTATTCTATGATTATTAATTTAATTAGGAAAGGTATTCCTACAAGGATCTTCTCTAGCGTTAGGAGACTAAGGAGTCTTCTAGAAGAGATAGATTAGTAGGAGATCTCCTTCCTACATTGAATTAATATTGGAGTAGAATTAGGATTCCTCGACCTAAATAGGATAAGCCCATATTTAGCACCTCCTTAAGGTCTCTAATGGAGCCTATAAATACACCAAGTCCCAACCTCTTGGAAAGAGTTGATGTTGGCCGATTTTCTCCTCTACATACGTGGGAAAAATAGCTTCGTTCGAGAGTTAGGGAGATTCGATTTAACGCTCCACCAAATTTGATCGAAGTAGGTGTTTAGGTAATCCATTAGAAGGTTTTTTGGTACAATATATTGAGCCTCTAATATACATATACTTTCGGTCATCATCATCGCCACCATGAGCCACCGCCAGAATCCGCAAACCGCCACCGGA